AGCACTGTGGGGATCATCTGTTTAAGAGGCAGAAAAAAAAGAAGAAGCAACAACAGTGTTTTATTTACGCAGACGAGTGTGTGTATTAACGTGGTTATTTCTGTCAACCTCCCGGTCTCCAGTGAGTTCAGTGAGAGTGCGGCATCATCCTCATAACTGGAGGTTAGACTCACACTTTAGGCAGCAGAACAGCACTCCAGGGAGCCAAACGACACAGAGAGGTTTGTTTTACTTGTGCTTTATCTGCACAAAGGTTGAATAGTGGCCCTGAAGTTTTTCACTCTCCCACAAGTCTGCCCCCCTCCCCTATTTAATTTTTGTCAAAGGATGGAATCTAATTCAAAAATATGTTTCACAATTTTTGTACCTCGTCACCTCGACTATTTTTGAGAATGCCATACTCAAGCTGGAACATGAAAGCAATATTTCATGTTTTCTCTGGATGAGAAAAAAACTGAGAAGATTTGAAAGTGGATATATGATCAGTGGTGTAAAGATGCAACATGAAAACACTGCATTAATTGGTCCTGACTTGCCACAGGTAGACGAAAGAGTGCTGCTGAAGAACATCTGTGGAATATGCGCTCAATGATAGGTTCACACAGTTTGTTTTGTGGAATGTATACACACTCTTTTCCATTCCGCTCATTATAAACACCATAAAGCAAAGCCCCCTCCACCACCTAAGCAGGACACATCAGGTCACAATTATTTCTCAATTTGTCTGATTCAATTGATGCGATTCAAAACGATGCAGCATATTACTGTGTTATTACACAGGTTTTACACAGAGGAACACTTAGTAACACATATTATCTTGAGGTATCTTGAGATTGCGCGGGATCATTTGTCAGTCCCTGTCAAATTGAGACAAATATGCCACTCAGGTCTGATGCTGACTGATGCAATCATACTCAGCAGCCTGGTTTTTAAGCATCATTAACTAATTAGATTAGCCTTTGAGTCATTGAAACGGGCTCCATTAAAAAACATCAACTCCCCCCCGTGGAAGCTGGCTCTGAGTGCCGTCAGAGTTACTGGCGACATCAGTTGTCTTAGAGTACTCCTGTAGATATTTGTTTGTTCAAAAACAAAATCAATGTTTGAGGATTTTCTCTGATACGTACAGTTTGAAATCATACACAGAATGTATCAGCTGAGTCAACCCACTCTGACAAGACTAGGTGAGATTCAAATATCAGCAAATCTTAACAATTAAAGCAGCTTTATGTTAAGCATTGTGCTACATAATGACAAGGAGCCCCATTCAAAAGGAGAAGTTTGCACTGCACACAACGTGGAAAGCAGAAAGCTTTATATTTCACTGACTGTTCTTATTTTGCATCTCCATCCTTTGATTTTAACTTTATTTTAATGCTAATGAAGCTCCATGAAGGTTGTGCATCCATCTGACACCTGTCAAAGCAAATCTGAACCCTTTCAATATGGCTTCCAAAAGCTGATTCCCTCAAAAACAGGCACTTGAGACATGTTCACATCCGTCCCCCCTGCGTTCATTTACACCCTATTTGGAAACGATGGAAAAAGAGAACCCGAAAATTATGTGACAGACCTCTTTTTTGGACGCTTCGTTGAGCAATGTGTGTTGCAAAGCAACTGGCAAGAAAGCAAGCAGGTAGTGAGGCAGGCAGCCAAATACAAACTGTGCAAAAGCCATCACTTTACACCTCTGTGATATGAACTAATGGAGCCACAAGCCATTACCTAAAGACAGAAGATGGAAAGGAAACAACGGGGCGAGGCTGTGGGAGTCAAGGGGAAGAGGAGAAAAGCCCCTCCACCTTTGCCATGCGGCGGTGTGATAGACAGAAATTAAATTGGGTTGATAAGGAACATGAAAGAGCAAGTACAATTAGATTATGATCAGCTGTAATTTTAGTTGGAGAGTTCGACGGAAGTAGAATTCTTATGATCTGCCTGAACGGTGAGTTTTGTTTCAGAGGTGACAGCACAAGAAATCTTCCTCAGATTAGAAAGACATAATGTGAAAAATTAGATATCAAGACGTAACATGTTCAAGGGCAGAAAGACACTGTGTAAGGAAGGAGAATTTAAAAAGTATTTAACTCCACACTCACCCGCCCATGGGTAGTATCCTTCTGTCTCCAAGCTCGGGTCCCTCGACCAGAGGCCAGGGAGCTAGATGGTATCTTAGCTGCTCTCAGAACTATGAACTCGGCATGTGTCTCTGATGTTTTCTCTGGGATCTGATGGAGCCATTCCTCCAATCTTTAAGAGTGTGGAAAGTGTTTATAAAGGCTTATAAAACCTGATTTACAGATTTACACCTATAGTGAATAGATCACTGTGTATATATATAAATATATATGTGTATTTTCAAAAATACTACCACATATATATATATATTTATATATCCATACTGTGTTTTCATAGAATATATGATACAGTTTTAATATATCTAATACATAATAAAAGCAATTTCACACTGTGAATCCTTGAACGACATTTTAGTGAGGTTGACAGGTGGAAGTACAGAGAACATGGTTAAAGACTGATGGGATAATAATGCCAGGGAGAGTAACGGATAGCAGTCTGCATCAGCGTTCATCTAAACCCATTGTGTAGTCGCTGAACGGCTCTGACAATTGTAGATATTAATGTAGACATGAGGTTAGAGGTGAGTGTTGCACTGGCTGTCGATCAGGTACGAGAAATCCTCCATTACTTGACTAAACAGAGCGGAGTGTACATCCTGTCAGTGTGGGTAATGCGTCAGGGCTCAGCCTGCACACAGACGCTCCTCACCCAAACATCCCCTGTGCTGCCAATCCTTCCACCATAACTAACTAATGCAAAGCTATTACCATATCATTACAGTGAAAAGTGGGGACCACGTACTCTCTTACCCTGTAAAGAGAGGAAGATGTAGGCAGGGAAAATAGGGTCAGAGTGGAAGCTTTAACTGTAACCTAACACTACTCTGCCTCCGGTATGACTCACAAGTATGACTAATCGCACACGTGGTTGTGTACATTTATGTGTTGGCCAGTTCATTTATACTAATAAGGGAGTGTATATCAGTGCACATGCACCAGACAATCATTGAGTCTTGTATTGTTCCTACAGTTTAATCTAAGTTCAATTCAGGTTTTCAATAGAACAAATGTTGCAATGTAAACAAAGTGATTAGATATATTACATGTTTATACATAAGTTATTGAAAATGCATGCATGGTTGTCTGTTACTAAATGTGCCTACGACAGTATAGTGATCTATCCAATATCCATTGGACATCAACCCAACAGGGTAAAGCTGTATAGAAAACAATACAGAAAATAATAAATTACCCGGGTCCCTCATCTATAGCGGGGTTAGGTTAAAGGTAGCAAGCGTGCTCAGCATTTGCAGCTCTTCTTACAACGGACAGGCAACATGTCCACAGCCGATTTGTTTGTTTGAGTCAGCCATTTTTGGGAATTACTAGTAAAAATCGCCCAGTTCTGATAAGAACCCTTGAAACCTGGATATAGTTTCCCCCCAAAGACGAAATGACTCATAAATTACGCTTCCTCTCAACTAACTATTCTAATATGGTTGCTGTTTTTCTTTGAAGAAGCAGGAAGTAGAAAAGTGACGCGTCGAGTATCAATGACGTGTAGGTCAGACGAATATAGCCTGCCTGTACAGACACAGGTCACATTTGAAGAGATCGGATAGGTATCGCTTTTAGGACCACATATAAAGTGGGAATAGAAGTTAAACAATATATCAAGATACCAAAATTCCACAAACCTTGATGGACTGGTGACCTGTCCAGGGTGTGACCCACCTTTCCCCGTTTGTCGGCTGGGATAGGCTCCGGCTCCCCAAATCTGTAAATGCATTCTGAAGGAGGAAACACTCCACGGCTCCTCTGAGCAAACAGAACCCTTCATAATGTTCCCTCTATAAAGCAAAAAATCTGTTGTGTAAATGTAGAGTGCAAGTTAAAAATCAGCGAGATAGCAAAAAGTGAACTGTGAAGCGGTGAGGGATGACTAATATATCTGCTTGGGCTGAGAATTTATAGATATCTAAGATCTGTACAGATTTATAGATCTCTAAGACTGGGCTTGGACACATAAAAATGAAGAGGCAAAAATAATGTCTCCACCATGAACACAAAATCCAGACACAGCAACATCCCAGCTGTGTGAGATGCTTTTTTTGTACTTAAGATGTATGTCTACAATTAGGTATTAAGTAAATAGTGCCTCAGTTTAGGGTCAGTTTTTCTCGATTATGACACATTTTTCTCTTTACAGATTGTCACTGACAATCACAGGGAATTGTACCAGTGGCCGTTTTTTAAGTGTGATTCAACACTTCAAATCATCTGAGTCTCCTCTGATCAGTATATCTCTGTTCTGAGCACACTGAAGACCACTGATATGACGGTGCTCTCATTACAGCCCTACGAACATGTCGCCCTCAGTGTTTTTGGCAGTAAATAATCCGTCTTGACTTATAGCCTGTGACTTGCTTAGCTTTTTTTCCATGACTGACTGACCTGCCCTTGACCATGTTACTGCAACAAACAGGTTCCTGAAGCGACAGGAGAACTTCAGTGAAATGTTTTTCTCTTCATTTTGAAGAAAAATGTTTTGACGATTTTTTTGCAAATGAGTGTAATGTAACAGGTGGCCATTTATATGTTATGCTCTATATCACTAAAGTGGGTGTATCCCTTTCTAGTATATATAATTCTTTAACTACTTATTCCATTTATCTGTTAATTAATTTGAGTATAATTTATTAGTGTGCTTTGATTAAGCATAATCGAATCAGAACATACACATCGCTCCAAATGTAAACATAAATGATCATCAATACATTGTAACATCTTCTGTATGTCATACAATTGAAGAGAATACTCAAATACGAACAATTCTCTATTGATTCCTGTGTTTTTCTGGAGATAGACATGCTCCATAATCACCTTTTACCTACCTGCCAGTTCACTTATGCTGTATGACTCATGACCTCATCCCCTGATTGGCTCTGTGTTTCTGGTTTCCAGGATGACCACTCCATGTTTTTCCAGTTTGGCCCATCCATCGAGCAGCAGGCTTCCGTCATGTTGAACATTATGGAGGAGTATGACTGGAACATCTTTTCTATAGTCACCACTTACTACCCCGGTTACGAGGATTTTGTCAACAAGGTAAATAAACATTTTAAGGAAGTTATTCATTCAATGTACATATTTTCTCATAGGATTTCATGCACTGTACAGTATGTGCCTTGTTTCAGCTATCTCTCCTTCCATTGTATTTGAAAAGAAGGTTTTTATTTAATGTTTCATTGAAAAGATTTAAGCTAAAAAGAGTTATATCCTCTAATTAAGGGGGCTATAATTCCCTTTATTACTATCCACAATAGTGCCCTGTAAAAGAACACCACCACCATTGTTAGGGATTAAATTATTTTATAACCTGATGGGGACACTGGTTGTAGTTTTTCGGGCTGTTTTGGTAAAAATGTAAACCAAACACCTCACAACATCATGGCCATTAAAATACATTGGTTTTTTTTACTATCCAACTGTTACATGGATGCAACTTTTGCAATTAACATAGAGTTGCTCCCTCAGACATTATTGATGACATATTCTTCAGATGTAATAATTAAGACATGACCAAATGCCCCTCATGGACATTCTTATAAGGACCATGTGCAGTTGGTGAACTGGTCCTGAAACTGTTGCTTCACTGGAAATATGACCTCAAGCGTTTAAAAAATGATAAGGTTATGCAGAGTCTGATGTCAATGGACAGCCCATTCCATTTTCTGTTTTCCTTTAGAGAAAAGTAAAGGGGATTTGCTGAACATGTCCCTGTGAATCCAGCCACTTACTGAGATTCCAGCCTGCTTATCTCCAGGGCAAAAAAAATACTTTTAAAAGTGGGATCCTGAATGAATTTGATATCAGACACACATCTGAGAGGAGGAATGTTATTGAAAGTCAGCTAATCGTATATATATATATATATATATATATATATATATATCACAATAATGCTTCCAGAAAGACTGTGTCTTTACTTCGAACAAAGTCAAAGTAATAACCTGATTTTTTTTCAAGTACCATAGATGATGGTACTTGAACAGTTTTCAATAATATACTGTACTTCATAGTATAGACATGACACAAAAGAGAACATTTTTGGTCAGAATCTTGCAACAACCAGTGCCAGAGCTTCTTATAGAGATGCATTAAGGGTTTTTAGGTTTGTTAAGGATAATTTACCATCTTCCTTTCATCTTCACTCTTATTGAAGTTTGGTGTTTCCTCTTGAATATTCAGTAAATTGAATCCATACTTTCATTTTCTGGCCAAATGCCCTATGTTTCAGCATAGACACACACACTGAGAGTTATTTGGTCCCTGAAATGGCACATCTTTGCTTTCTCTCGAAACACAGAGGTGTTAAAGTGTTGAAAAGGGGTGCCGGTAGTTTGTAAATGTGTTGTGGGTATGTTGTAAAGGTTTCCTTCCAATGACTTCTTTTAAACTCATGTACATGCAACACTACCACTCAAAATCTTCATGGCAGTTGTTTGCTGTCAAATACCTGTAGAACAGAAGTCACCCTCTCCCATTTAATTGCATCTCTACTCAGAGACTAAAAAACGACATAATCACTAACCGCATACAACTCCAGGGGACCGACTTTAGTTTCTTAAACTAAACACAAAACTTAAAGATTAGCTTCCCAAATCTAGTAACAGTGTGATAATGTCTTTTAATGGCACATCAACACATCAACAAAAAGGAAAAAAATAACAATAATAATCAAATGTGACAGCACAGAATCATAAATAATTCTGTGATGATCCACGGCATGCCAGCAAGAGTAAATGAATGATCATGGTGTGTTTGGATACTGCTGGGAAAAACACGTTACCGTTCGTTAATAGCGGATTAAATGGTTGTAGGGACTGAAACAGAGGGCACTGATACAGGAGGTCCAATGAATGGGACATGTCCGCCACACTTCATGGGTCACGACTGTTACGCTCGAGCTTGATTGCCATCTAAACGCCATATGAAGTTAGAAATTCACAAAAATAAATGCTGAGACAGTTCTAAAAGTAATATCTGTGTGCAGCTTCTCGCTGTTGATTTACAGCAGCGTTTGTGTGGAAATAGCCTCAAGATTTGGGGAGAATAATTAAAAAATCTCTCGCTTAAAGTGTCAAAAAATAAACGCAAGCACAATTTCCAGCTCTGAGAAGATGTGCAAAGTCAAACTGGCAATTTAGAGGCCACAGGAGGAGGTGGGGGAGAAATCTCAGTCTGTCTTTTTTTAGTATTTCTCCTTCACATCTCCAATGAATGTGAGTAGCCCTACACTTTTCAAGCCTTTTCTTTTTTCCAAACCAGGTCCGCAGCACCATTGAGAACAGCTTTGTTGGCTGGGAGCTAGAGGAGGTCCTATTATTGGACATGTCGGTGGATGACGGAGACTCCAAGATCCAAAACCAGATGAAGAAACTGCAGAGTCCTGTGATTCTTCTTTATTGCACGAAGGAAGAGGCGACAACCATTTTTGAGGTGGCTCATTCGGTGGGCCTCACAGGTTATGGCTACACTTGGATTGTGCCCTCGCTAGTGGCCGGAGATGCAGACCATGTTCCCTCTGTCTTCCCTATAGGTACATGAAGTATCATTAATTTACATTAGTGCCATTTAATTAAAACATAACCATGCAGCATATTGGATAAAACTTCAATGATGAATTAGAATTACTGATCCCCGTTTTATACTCAAAGATACCAGCACGAATGATTAATATTTCTTCAACATGGATCAGAAATATTCTTGATACTACTGTTCCATTTCAAGGTTTCAGAAAACTTTGTTGTTGGGTAAGAACATGAGGAGCAGATGGGCCTGTTTGCATATGCAAATGTGCTCTGAATGGATTTGCAATACACTGCCAGCCTCTGGTAGAATGTATGCTCATATCTGTAACTGCAATTGAATTGCACTTTAATTCTTTCAGTTACTATATTTTACATGCCTGAAAATTGTCCAAATAATACTTTTCCAGGAACTCTTTCAGATATCAAATCCATGCATAACTGCTTTCTTTTAGTAAAGGTTTTTGTTTTGTTTTGCCATAACTCAAGTCTAAATATAGGTTCGGTCCTGATCTCACTGGGGTTTATAAGTAACGAAAATCAAATGTCTGAAATAGTTGCCAGGATACCAACTTAGTTTTAGAGTGGCACGCTTTCTTGTGAATCCATTTACTCCACTGGGCATGTTTGATGCTGTTCGGCAAAACTGCTGTGTGTTTTGCTCCTTTCGGTTCCACTTAGCTGAGCAGGTGAGAGCTAGAGAAAAAGCTGTTTTTTTTATCTGAAAGAAAAACAGACACTGGATGAATAGGCAGGTGTGCCTCTATCCATTACATTTAGGTCGAACTCTTTGAAATGAGAGCTTCATATCCAAACCAGCTGCGGAAAATTATCTGTAACAGCAGTTGTTTGCGTGTAAGAAAGTGAATATCAACATGTAATGGACAACTTCTCATGCTCAAAAAGTCAGGGATGACAAAATGAGAAGTCCAATGCTTTTCCCCAATTTTTCCTTTTTTTCCCACACCTAATTTCTCTCTTTCTCTCTCTCCCAGGGCTTATCTCCGTGTCGTATGACGAATGGGACTACAACATCGAGGCCAGGGTGCGTGATGCAGTGGCTGTCATCGCCACAGCAACCTCCACCATGATGTTGGACCGAGGGCCACACACTCTGCTGAAGTCCAGCTGCCTTGGTACTCCTGACAAGAAGGGCTCCAACACCGGCCACTCCAAGGAAATCCTGAAGTGAGTCAATGCTCGTTAGGTGACAGCAGGACTGAGGGGCTTGTGTCTCTAAACACAGTTTCTGACGATTACCAGTGAGGATGTTTGACTAAAACAACAACACAAACACTGTTACAGGTCAGTCATGGTAACACTGCTCAACATATTTGCCATGGCTTTTAAATTGGGGATAGCTGAAGTTGTGTGCACGGGTGTGGGCTTCCGTGACGAGGATTCTAGTGTCCATTTTTCAAGTTTTACAAAATCAGACATCCAAATCCAAACGCAATTGTGGGTTTCGATTAATCAGCGTAAAGATTACATCTGCTGCTTTAAATAGCTATTGAAATCAGCCGGTTTGTCACAATGAAACCCCTCCAGGCAAACTAAAGCTGGGTTGCCACTGGTTTAAGCAAATTATCTTTTTTACCAGTGAATTTTATTCTGTGCTTTCAAAACGATGTGGTATGGCCTAGAACAAAGATTTTCTAGGTCTACATATTTCATAGCCCATTCCAAAATAGTATCAAAAGATTTTACAGATGTTCATAATGTATGTGTGTACATAATGTCATGTACAGTGGAGGTTTTCCTTTAGACTTTACTAATGAGACCTTCGAAATTGGTGCATTGAAAAATGTCCCCTGACCAATTTATTTATTTATTATTTATTTCCTTTCCATTTACATTGAAAGGACATCCCATGTTTGCCTGGGCTGGGCTGGGCTGGCCTGGGCTGGTTTACATATGCCATTGAAATCTGCACATATTAGCATGCCAGGCTTATGAGCCTTATAAATTCATTTGAAATATTATGTAGCGCTTCCATGTCCACATTCAACATGCAATTGACCCAAAAAGCAGTTAAACTGAAGTTAGACTAATAAATCTACACCCAACTTTATAGATGGTTGGTTACATAACAATGTTTTTTAGCTTCAAAATGCCATCAAGAGGTAAATGTTGAGAACAGAATGTAAGGAACACACACATTATAGATTTGGATTCTCCTGCAAGCGGTGTGTGTTTTTTTTTAGCTTTTTACTGCAGCCTGAAGTCTACTTCGCTTTACCTCCACAGTGAATGCTTCTTTCTGCTTTTGCCATCTGGCCAAGAAGATTATGCTGGTGCTTCAGTTTAATTTTTTTTTTAGCAAAATAGTAGAAAAAATGTATGGAATCATTTACATAAAGATTTAACCAGAAGTGTGATGTGGCCCAGATTAGAAGTGATTAACTTTTGATGTTGATCCCGATCCAGGATTATTCAATAAAGCTTGGTAGAGCCTCACGCTGCCTTTGATTCTGTAGTGCTGATGTTTGTGTATCCAGTGTAGCAGAGAAAGAGTAAAAGATAAGAGCAATCCAATCTTTGTGACAGCACCAACAATGAAATGACTTGGAAAGCGTTTTCAAGTACTCTGCCTATCCTACTGAGAACCATAGAACGTGGGCAAAACAAATCACATTTATGTGTTAACACATGACATCACATATTTTTAAACAAAATTGAATCTGGGTTAAATGAATAGATTGAATGTAAAATATTGCACACTTTTCTGTTTAGTTTCTAAATCACATCAGTTTCTACGTACATTCGTGTAGGCACTTACCATGCAGACACAATCCCCAGGGAGGGCAGGAATTTATTCAAGCAGTCAATAAAAGTTTAAAAACAAACTGAATAGAAACGTTCCTTTAGCTCTCAGACTAATAACAGGATCTTCTCTTATCTCTATCTTGACCCACAGCCATCTTTTAATGAAAACATCCGTCTTTTCCTCTTCCTCTGAGCCAGCTTGTTTTGCTTTTTGGCACATTACAGAGCAAGTCGGATCGTCAGTATTCAATAATTTATCCTCATTTAACTTCAGAGAGCATCCCTTTACTGTTCACATTGATCAGAGATTCCACAGCTAATTGAATTCATGGGGACGACTGGATTAAAGGAGGAGTGTGTGGGGGTGGGGGTACTCGCAAATAGCTTAAAGAAACACACATTTAAAAATGTACACAAACTTACTCTTAGTGTTTTAGAATAATATTTCAATTGCTTTCAGTTAGGAGGATGATAAGACATACTGACATCATTCTGTACTCTCAGTATTTTAGTCACTGCACCTTGGTTATTCTTGTTTTTCAACTTGTTAAACATTTTCTTAATTTTTGTCCGTCATATTGTCTGAGACAGGGAAATGCTACTGCATTAATGTCCAGATGGAGGTTGGTGTATTACTTCACATTTTGGTCTTGTTTTTTTTTATTTGGTGTAACATCAGGAGCACTTAAGCGGACCATTTTGGATTCATCCACATACAGCACTAAGATAACAATAGGACTACAGCCACGAGTATTTCAGTTCCCGGTGGATATACCACCCCACACAGGGTTAGGTCTCAGTCATCCCTGGGGCACACACCTGGCATGCTGCTGTGCAGTGCGAGTTCGCATGGAGAGGACCGTCCACCAACCAGCCGTTCCATTTTTTCTCCATCTCACTGAGCAAAGCATTTAGATCGGTGGATCTTGATGGTGACTCCGGGGTCTTGCGAGAGCCAAACAAACACACACATACGATAGCTACACGCACACACTTAATTCCTCCCATTCCATCCTCTCATTCCCCAAGAGACAAAAGCAATAATAAGGCCATATGTCTCTCCGTGTCTCTGAATAGCTGCAGGCCACTGTGGGCTGCATGCCTGCTGCATTAGCATGGCATCCTGTCAGCGCTGACGGACAGAGATGAGACACCATTGTGAGTCATTCTCTTGGATTTGTTCAGGGGCTGCCGACCTTATGGGGGGGCACTCATACACACACAAAACACACATATCTAAGTACATGCAGACACTCTCCAGCACATATACAACCACACATAAGTCAACATGATTCAAGGAGCTCTTAGGGTCAACCATGTGACAGAGAGGGCAGGAAGACCAGGAAATGAGAAAATGGGCTCCAAGTGGTATTTCGATAAAGCACTACGGGGCACATTTGAGTGTGTGTTGCAAAGTATATTTGTTTTAATTACTACAGCTACTATTGTTGATAAGCGGATGAGATCAGATTCTTTTTCAAATCCCTGTGCTGCTAAAGCTATCTGTCAAAGGTAGATAAGATGGAAGTGATAACCATAGGGACTTTACTTGCACGTGACCAAATAGTACCTTTATTCCCATGGCATGGAGCCAGTTGTGCTCGCTACTTTTTTAGCCTTCAGTTGTGTCTCAGTCGATAACTCTCTCCAAAGACCATTATACATTTCGTTCACATAGGAGAAGCGAGCTGCTTTTGTTTTATGTCACCCTTAAAGTATCTCCCTCCTGCAGCGGGAGAGCGGCATTATTCCTAATGGGCACAATAAAAGTGCCCGTCTTACAAATCCTGTGTTTATTAGAATACAAGTAGGCCGTTCTATAGTGCCTCTGGGTATCTAAAGCACAAATGACCATCTTTTCCTTGGTCTCTTCCTTGCAAGTGAAGCGAATAACTGTCAATAAGCAGTTGTGTTCCCCGCCTTGTGTAACACTCAGCTTCAATTCTCCTCCTGTCATCCATCTTTTTTTTTTGTATACAGTTCTGGTTTCTTTTCCATCTCTTTTGTGGTAATTCCCTGAAAGCAGTCTATTCTCCTTGAAAAAATGTTTCAATCACATGAAACTAAAATGGCATGTCAATGAGTTATGGTGGCTCTTTTGTTTGTCCTTTTCCTCACATGATGCTGTTTATAGTCATTTTGTATTTTTAGATGCTCAAAGGAAAGAAAAAGAAAATGAGAAGAGTATTTCTGAGGAAAAATGGCTCATGTGCAGTGTAAATAGATTTTCTGTCCTATCCCTGTTTATGACTCATTGCTAGCAGGGACTTTCTTTGATTTGCCATTGAAACAACCAACCAATAGATCAAAATCTTTTTTTTTATTATTGAAATGTTGTCATTGGGTTGCTGCTTACATAAGTGTCAGGTGCTCGCTGGGTTTTCACTGTAATATGTGAGAGCTGACCATTGACTTTTCAATGTTTTTGCAGGAATAAGTGAATGTCACTTTTAATACAGTACTTATAAATTTAATCGGTCTACTGTTTTTGGCGCCGTGAAAAAAACATCTATTAGCCGCACCGTATCATAGGCTGCAGTGTTCAGAGTGTGGGAAAAAAGTAGCGGTTTATAGTCCGGAATTTACGGTAATCCCCTTCATTCCGACTTTAGTCAAAAGATAATCTAGAAAATAGAGAACTTTCACACTGGTATTGGTGTTTGGGGATTAAAGTAATTGCATGACTATGTGATATTATGTTCTTAGATGTCAAATTTCCTTTTTGACCAACCCAAATTTTAAAGATCAACAAATCATATGGCAATCAGCCAATCCTCCATTTTTGAAAATAGAAAAATAAGGTTGTCTTGTGGCTATATTGCACTGTTTAAAGGCAGAGGTATTAATGCATTTATTTCAGTAATGGCTTTCTTTGTCTTTTTTGTGTTAAAGTGAAATCCCCTCACCACATCCAGCCAGAACAGCATTTTATGGATTGTTAATAATACAATGAACCAAAAAAATGGAAAGAAAATAGACTATCTGTGTGAATACTATGTCATATCAACATGACTGAGCTACATTGTCACATGCAAGGAATAAAACTAAAAGCGGTATGTTGGCTCCACAAAAAGTCTCACCGATCATCATAAAGGATTGAACATGTTCTTTGGTGATGGGTTTTGGGTGAACTACATCATTCTTGCCAAAATGTTGAAAGAAAGCTTTAAATATTTTTAAAAAAGAAAATAATTTTTTAAATAAACCAAACTCCATGGTCAACCAGAGTTTGTTGAACTTAAAGTAACAAAGACATTTTATGTTTGCAGGCCATACTTCCTAAAAGAAAAAGTTATTTGACAAGCAAAAACACTAATAATTGTAAAGTAATTGATGAAGAAGGGCAGAAATGTGAGATCACTGGTAAAATAAAAAATACTAAATCCCAAATGTTCCATTGACAGAATCATTGACACACTAAAAAAGCCACACTGCATCAATTTTCTGACGATTTTATTTGTTTGTTTATTTTGTACGGTGAATGATGGAAAAAGTGGAAACTACTTTTTCACTTTAAGGAAAACGGCGTCAGCCAATAATTGGCTTTTTATCTTTACATCTTTAATTGGTTTTACACAATCATGTCATGTTTTAGTGTGTTTCTTGGTTCAGAAGCTACTTAATTATGAATGATTAGGATTTTTAGACTTGAAAAGCATTGCCTATTGCTATTACATCTTGCTCACAATTAAAATGAGGGAGTTCCTCCCCTTTGTCCAGGCTCCATAAGTGGCCATCCGATGTCTCCCGCACAGATGTTCTTATGAGTCCAGTTAGCATGGAGCTCCTCTTGATTCATTCATGAAAGAGTGTTTCTCAGAGAGAATCATAACATTACATCTTTCTTATATCTAGTTTCATCTTTGTGTATGTGTTTGAGTGTGTGCCCATGAGAGTTTACAACATCTGATTTATTCTACAAACTTCAAACATACAAATATCTAAGCAGTTGAACTGTGCCAAGGTTTTAAATTTGCCATTTCATTTTCAGTTATTGCCAATAAGAATTATGTAATGAAAGATTTCAAGTTATTCTTACCACATTAGTGGCAAAGCTGGTGGTTTTATCCATTTGTACATATATGACCAGCAAATTGAACTCTTGAGGACTGGACTGCTAATGATTTAAGAACTACCGCCAAGGTGATTTGAAGAAGCTTGCTAGGTTGACTTGTCCGTCTATTTGTCGACATAGGTGTGTAGTTATCATCAAAATAATGCACTGGACTGTCCGACTCATGGTTCGTGATGAAGGGCTGCTGGAGCAAAGGGGCTGTTATAAATGTATTCTGCATTAGCAATTATCTGAATCTGTTCTCTACTGCGCATGTCTCCTAGAAAGTGCTCCAATGTGATCTTGTCAAACATGCCGCCTGGACAATCAACCACCAATTTAATCCAGCCCATCCCTGGAGTCTATCACACCTGTTACTGGGCAACAGGCAGGATACACCCAGTCCATCACAGGGCCACACAGACACCGAAAGGACAAACAACTACTGTGTTCATATTCGCTACTCTTTTCAGTTTAGTCACCAAATGACCTAACATGCATTGTTTTTGGACAGTGGGAAGGAATCTCAATAGAGATAACTGATATTACATTCCGGGGATATAATTATTATTCATTATCACACAAGATGAGGCAATCGAATTTATACATACACATGTGTGTGTGTATATATATATATATATATATATATATATATATATAT